GTGCATGCACTCTGAAGGAGGGGTGTTACTGTTGCGTTTAAAAAAAACTGTAGTGTGGTATGCACCCTTTGGCAAGACAGTGATGAGTGAATGATGGTGGAAATTTTTTCTTTTTGGGCACCTGCTTGGTGGGAATCGGCCCACCAGTGTGATAATAAAAAAAAATATAATAAATAATAATAATAATAATAATATAAAAATTTATAATAATATTAATAATATAATAATAATAATAATAATAATAATAATATAATAATAAATTAATAATAATAATAATAATAATTCATAATAATAATAATAATATAATAATAATAATTCAGAGTTGCTTTTGAGCTCGTTGGTATCATATTAATTTTAACATCAAGATGTTTATCAGTCGATTTTGAGTTTGTTCCACACTGTTAATACTTGTCATTCCGGGGGCTGTGTGAACCTTCATTATCATCGTACACTTTCACTTTCCCCACAACGAATTGTTATTATTATACAATCTAAGGGATGAGCTAAAACCGTGGATTATACAACTCTGTGGTGGGAAGGGATGTGGAAGGTTTTCAGGCTTAATTCAGGGAACTGGAACACAAATCCAAATCCCTAGATCAAGAGACCTCACAGGTCAAGGCCCTTTCCTGACGGGCCCACAATGAAAGATATCACCGAAATTTTTGCATCATTTCCTCTGTATAGAGAGTAGATTTTGCTTTTTTAGTATTTTTTTTTGTTTCCTTCACAATGGAACTTTTATATCATCTGAAGACATTTATAGAAAATTTGGACATACCATGGAAAATTCATTACTTTCGGTAGATTAAAACTGTTATCTTTTTTTTATTCAAAACAATTGGTGATTCAAATCACAACTGGTTTGCATTTTCATTATATTATATATATTAATATAATATATATATAATTAATAATTTAATATATTATTATATATATATATATATAGATAGATATATTATATATATATATATATATTTTTATTTTTATTTATTATCACACTGGCCGTTTCCCACCAAGGGCAGGTGGCGAAAAAGAAAAAACTTTCACCATCTTCACTCCATCACTGCTTGCCAGAAGGGTGCTTTACACTACAGTTTTTAAAACTGCAACATTACACCCCTCCTTCAGAGTGCAGGCACTGTACTTCCCATCTCCAGGACTCAGTCCGGCTAGCCGGTTTCCCTGAATCCCTTCATAAATGTTACTTTGCTCACACTCCAACAGCACGTCAAGAATTAAAAACCATTTGTCTTCATTCACTCCTACAAACACGCATCACGTACGCCTGCTGGAAGTCAAGCCCCTCGCACACAAAACCTCCTTTACCCCCTCCCTCCAACCTTTCCTAGGCCGACCCCTACCCCGCCTTCCTTCCACTACAGACTGATACACTCTTGAAGTCATTCTGTTCGCTCCATTCTCTCTACATATCCGAACCACCTCAACAACCCTTCCTCAGCCCTCTGGACAACAGTTTTGGTAATCCCGCACCTCCTCCTAACTTCCAAACTACGAATTCTCTGCATTATATTCACACCACACATTGCCCTCAGACATGACATCTCCACTGCCTCCAGCCTTCTCGCTGCAACATTCATCACCCATGCTTCACACCCATATAAGAGCTTTTGGTTTAAAAATATATCTCATACATTCCCCCCCTTTGCCCCCAAGGACAAAAATTTTTTTTCCCACAGACTCCTAAGTGCACCACTCCCCTCTTTTTCCCTCATCAATTCTATGATTCAAACCCCATCTTTCATAGACCCACCGCAAAAAACGTCCACTCCCCAAAAAATCTGAAAACATTCACCTCCCCTACTCTTCCCCCCCAATCTTTATATCCCCAAACTTTTTAAAACCCTAATTTTTTTTTGTTATCCTCATAAACCCTTAAACCCTTTCCCCGTATTCAAACCCTTTTAAATTTTTTTCTTTTTCACACCCTACCAAATTCAAACCCCCCAAAACTCTCAACTTCTCTTTAAAATCTCCCAAGGCCAAAAGTGTCATCCAAAGAGAAAGCTGTGACAAATCCCCCTTTTTGTGGGGAAATTTTTTACTTTAACTCCAAAGCCTCTTGCAAAGACCCCCCCGCATTTACTTCTCTTACAACCCCCATCTATAAATATTTTAAACAACCAAGGTAATCACCACCCCTTTTCTAAGGCCTACTTTTTCTTTGGAAAAAAATTTTTTCCTTTTTTCCCACATACTCCCAACCTTTTACCTCCCTATCCTCGTAAAAAATCTTCACTGCTTTTATAACCTAAAACCCCCCTACACCATAAACCCCTTTCAACAACTGGGCCCCAATTTTCCCCCCCCATCCACCCTGTCAACGCCTTTTCCCCAAAACCATAAAAACCACAAAACCCCCTTTAGCCTTATCTAAAAAACTGTTCAATTTTTATGTTTCACTGTAAAAAACCTGGTCCCCCAAAACCCCCTTTCCTTTTCCCAAAAGGGCCCCCTTTGTTCATCTGCTATCCTTAAATTTTCCCCCTTACTCTTTATTCTTTTAAATTTTAACCCCTATCCCAAACACTTTTCCAGGGATAAATCAAAAAGACTTATCCCCCCATAAATTTTTTCACTCTTTTTTTGTCCCCTTGCCTTTATAAAAAAAGAAACTATGGCAAAAGCTCTCCTTTCCCCAAAACCCAGGACCCCCCCAACCCCCATACCCCCCCTTTTTTTAAAAAGGCCCCCCCCCCAAAATTAAAACCCCCCCCCACCGCTTTTAAAACCCCATCTTTTTCCCAAAAAATCCCCCCGGGTGCCTTCCCCCCTTTCATTTTACCCCACTCCCCTTTTACGAACTTTCCCCCCCACTCACAACCCGGCTCTTCCCCCACCCTAAAAGAATTTTTATTCCCCCTTGCCCTATACACGAAAACACACTTCCCCACCCTTTTTCCAAAATTTAAAAAATTTTCCTCAAAAAATTCCCCTCCATCTTCCCAATTTCCTCTAACCTCCCTTTAAAAACTCTCCTCCCTATTTTTAACTGACAAAACCATTTGTTTTTCTAAGGGTTTTCCTTTTAAATTTTTTAATCCCCACCTTTCCCAAAAATTTTTTCTTTTTTTTCAACAAAAAAATTTTTGATAACATCTCAAACCCCCTCTCTCCCTTTTGCTCTCTTTTTTTAAAATTGCTTTTACCAACTCTTTAACCTCTCCTTTTTCTCCATATACTCTTTTTCCCCCCTTGCAAACACTTCTACTTTGTAAAAAAACTTCTCATAGGGTAACTTTTTTCCCCCTTTCTAAAATCTCTTTACATTATCCCTTCCACCCCAAACCTCCTTTTCCCTCCTCAAACCCCCTTTCCCGTAAAACCAAAAAACTTTTTCTGAACACCTAACAAAATTTCATTTTTAAACCCCACCCCATTAACCCCTTTGACCCCCCTTTGCCAAACCTCATTTGCCTATTTCCCCAATAAACTGTTTATATCTTACCCTAACTGCCCCCTTTTATTAAAAAAAACCCCTTTACCCTCTCTTCCCTGGGTGCTTTTTTATTTTCCTTGTATCCCACTACCTTTTACTCCAGTTAGCTTTCAACTTAAAGTGGGTCGATAAACTGTGGCCCCTCTATAAACTTACATTTCCCGAAGTCCGCTCAACAGTCCCTTTTAAACCCACCAAAACATAATTTCCCAAAAAACTACCGTCATTTTTGGGCCCCACATCAAATCTTTTAAAACCTTTAATTTTCCTCTTTTTTTTTTAAAAATTTTTTTACCTATAACTAAAAAACCCTTTTTTATTACAAATTCAATCAAAGGGGTCCCAAAATCATTTCACCCGGCAAAAACCCCCAAAATTACCACCCAAAAAAACCCCTCTAAAAAATTTTCTCCTACTTTACATTCAGGCCCCACCACAATTAAATCTCTCACTTGGGGGGTTTAAAGGCTCCTATACATTCACTTAACATCTTCCCAAAATTTTCTCTCTCCTCTGCATTTCCCCTCTTCTTTCCCAAAGGGGCATACACGGGTTAATTTTGACCCCCTTCCCCGCATCCAAAACCCTTTTTTTTTAAACCACATAAATTTTTGAATTTAACCCCCTTCCCAAACTCTTTTCCCTTCCATAAACGATCCCTTTAACATTACTGCTACCCCTTCCTTTTCTCAAAATCTCTCAGAAAACCCAGATTTAACCCATTTATTTCCCCCCCCTGAAACTCTCCTACCCCCCCTTTAGCTTTTGTTTCGCTTAGGGGGCCAAGGGCCCTCCCCAAATTCTTTTTTATTCATAACCAGCAAACATTGTTTCTTTTTATCCGCACTACATCCACGGGGACATTTTAAACACCCATTTTTTTTAAAGGCTTTTTTTTCTTCTTTTTTTATATATATAAAATATATATATAAATATTAAATATAAAAATAAAATATATAAAATATATATAAAATATAAAAATATATATATATCGTAGTGTTTTAAAAATTCTTTTCCCCGGGAAATGGGAAAATTGCAAAAAAAAAAAAAAAAACTTTTTCCCCCTGCCCTTACTTTCCCTGATTTTGAGGGCCCCGAAAAAAGGGAAAATTTTAAGAAAAACACAGAGACTTTAAAAACCTCACTAATTTCTAAATAATCAATTCTCTCTTTTGGGTTCGAGTCACCCTTTGTAAATAACTGCTCCCCCGGATTTTTTTCTTTTGGGGCTCAAACCACCCGGGGGGGACCCCCCCAAACCCCCTTTCCCGATAAACTCCAGGTATTTTTAGTTGGGTTTAGAAGACCTTTCCTGGAAAATTTTGTCCAAAACCGGGAATTTTCCCAGAGTCCTTTGGGGGCTGCGAGGTGCGCCGATAATTAATCTTACACAGAACGTCTTTTTGTTAGGCCCAATTTAATACGGAAAAAAAGAAAAAAAGGGGTTTTGCTATTAAATTTTTTATTATATTTTTTATATTGCAGATCAATATTGGGGCCGAGAACTCAGAGTTTTAGACATCGCTCACAGAAATGGGGGCACCCGCAACGAAGATAGCAGCTACACCAAAATATTAGAGGCATACATGAGGCAGCCAGTGTGAAAGAGACATGTGTGACAGCTACACGAGCTACGTCAAAGACGCGTCTGTCGCAGCTGTATACGAACGACTCAGTGACACCAACGCATACCTCATACATACATACAAATAATATTATTCAAAATGAATTGCTGTCATAAGGAATGAGAGTGTTGATAGCGCGAGGTCCTACTCCTTCTTAACGGGAGCAGGAATGAGAGGGAAAGGGAATGGAGCAGAGTAGGGGATGGCAGGATTGAAACCGTAAGGAGTAAAGGCAGAGTAAGGAGTGTAGGCAGAGTATGGATAATACATGGAAGGGAACTTGTACTCCTTTTCCTTAAGTTCGATCTTGGTGGTGTCAGCGGGAGTGTCGGACTCAATCTTCTCGAACTCCTGGGTCTTGAACTTGGCATAGTCTGCAGTGTACTTGAGAGGGAAGACATACTGTGCCTCTCTGCGACGACGACGAGCCTCCACGACAGCCTCAGCCTCAGGCTTAGGCTCGGCCTTTACCTCCTCAGTCTTGGGAACGAACGGGTTTATGTAGTAGGGGTAGCCATGGTAAGCATATGGGAACGATGCGTAATTCGTGAGGGGGCTGAATGGATATGAGTAGACCATGGGGGTTGGGACTTGAATAGCAGTAGTCTTGTCATCTTCTCCGGTCTTAACATTGACGGCGGAGGTGACGGGGTAGGTTAAGAAAGTCACTTGACGCTTCTTGCGAGCGCTTGGTTCTTCCACAGGGCGGGACTTGGCCTCATCGAACGCGGCTTGGAAACTCTGCCCGAGCCTGAAGAACCTCAGGGGTTTCTTGTACGGGTTCTGGGGCAACTAGGTTGTCCACAGGGGCGCTCAGCTCTGCAGTCTCTGCTACGGGAAGGACATTTGACCTGACGCGGTAGCCTTGACCAGCACCAGCCTCGTAGAAGGTAACAGCGGGCTTACCGTCGGGTTGGATGTAGGAGTAATGACCAACAACACGGCCATCAGGGTGGCGGAATCATGGCGGTTCTGGTTGATACCGTGGTAGCCGAAGGTAGAATAACCGTACATGTCTCTGGAGCCGTATTGCTGCCCAAAAGGATTACCCCATATATGAGAGGGGCATCACATACTGCGCTGCACTGCAGCACCAAGCAAGAGACAAAACCACCTGTCAATGAAAAAAAAAACAAATATGTAATATTTCTTAAACCGTGTACAACGGATACTTGTGATCTCAAATTACACTGAAAGTATAACACGGAGCAATCTTTGATAAATTTAGCAATAATTATGACTACTGCTGTACCTATATACGATTACCTTGTTGACAGACTGGATGCTTCTCTAATGTATCTTTGAAAGCTTCCCCTGTCTTCCTGTCTCCCAGACTCCCAGTCTCCCAGGCTTCCTGGCTATCTATCTCTCAGGCTTCCTTCTATCTGTCTCCTAGGCTTCCTGTTTATCTGTCTCCCCAGCTTCCTGTCACCCAGGCTTCCTGGCTCTCTGTCTTCCAGGTTTCCAGTCTATCTGTTTCCTAGCTTCCTGTCTCCGGGCTCCCTGTCTCCCAGTCTTCCTGGTTTACTACCTAAAGTTACGCCACACCTGCATAAGCGAAGACTTCCACTGACCCGTTTCAGTCCTAAGACCAAAAATCCACCTGCAGCTGTCTAGCGTCCCTCTGGTTCTCGACCACCTCAGCCCATCGGCAGAAGTGTGGTATTTCCTAATCCCGCACCAACCTATGGAGTTCAGCAGAGTTCCAATAGTTGTTTTTGTAAATCTTCATGAGATTTCATGATCGTGTATTTGAGTATGTACGTGTGTGTATGTGTGTAATACGTGACTGTGAATGTGTTTTGTGTGTGTGTGTGTGAGCGTCCACCAGCTGCTCAATTTTCTATGCTACCTGTATACATGTTCCACTCACCAGGAGCTTCATGTTGCTGTAGACCTGCACACTGCTGCTGCTTCTCACTCCTCTTCACCACAATATATAGGAGATCAACCCCAAACAACCCCCCCCACTCACCCCCCGAACATTTTCCCCCACTCCATTCCCAAGGACAACGAAGTCTTACCTCCAGAAGTCTAGCTTCTCCTCAGGCGTGCAATTAGGACTTAAAACACATCTAAATAGCCCAAATTATGGGTTGAAAAACATTGTGCAGCTCTTCAACAAGCAGATTCCTGAAAATTTTGGAACTTACACATATTTAGACAAGTTTATATTATCATATGTCACACAGGTATCTACTTAAGGAGGGGAAGAGGGAGGAGGGGGAGGGGAGGGGGTGGGGGTTGTTCATGAAGGGGGGGGTATTGAGTCAAGGGAAAGGGGGGGGGTGTTCGCTCGCTTAGGAACAAGACTAGATGTCGCTAATATATTTAAGATACTTTTTTTTCGGTTTTGTGTACTAATGTAAAAATTTTATGATAATTATTAGATTTAGTCTGTCGTGTTGCTGTTGTCGTCGTTGTTGTTGCTACTTTTAGTCCCTGGTTGTTGTTGTTATTGTTACTTTTAATCCGTGGTTGCTGTTGTTGTTGATGTTGCTATTTTTAGTCCCTGGTTGTTGTTGTTGTCTTTGTTGTTGATGTTTGTGGTTGCTTTAATTATAAACTCTTCTCCGTTTCTTCTGAAACTTAGTTAAGACTTTCATGGAGATTTCTTTTAACCACTCAGAAGTATTCGAAAAAATATTTTTGATTGCTTCAAATAATTTTTTCCTGACCACCCTGTAACAGGCCAGCCACCACAGCCTACCTGAGTGCGCTAAAATATCCAAGAGACTGTGCCAAGGGTAACCCATCTTCAGATATAAAGGTATTTTCAGGCAAATTCCATTTCTCCGGGAAATGGGGGTAGGCCATCCTGAGAGATGGTAATTACAATCCCTCAGGAAACCTTTATAACTACCGTAGCTGTGGGACTTTTAATGGTATGACTGACGACATCCTCTTGCCTTAGTGATGTCTCCCACGTCAGGCTGGCACGTTTCAACACCATGTATGTGATCCACCCTGTGTGATGGAATGTGGCAGAGGAAACACCACCCTGTGTGATGGAATGTGGCAGAGGAAACACCACCCTGTGTGATGGAATGTGGCAGAGGAAACACCACCCTGTGTGATGGAAAGTGGCAGAGGAAACACCACCCTGTGTGATGGAATGTGGCAGAGGAATCACCACCCTGTGTGATGGAATGTGGCAGAGGAATCACCACCCTGTGTGATGGAATGTGGCAGAGGAATCACCACCCTGTGTGATGGAATGTGGCAGAGGAATCACCACCCTGTGTGATGGAAGGTGGCAGAGGAATCACCACTCTGTGTGATGGAATGTGGCAGAGGAATCACCACCCTGTATGATGGAATGTGGCAGAGGAATCACCACCCTGTGTGATGGAATGTGGCAGAGGAATCACCACCCTGTGTGATGGATTGTGGCAGAGGAATCACCCCCCTGTGTGATGGATGTGCAGAGGAATCACCCCCTGTGTGATGGAAATGTGACAGAGGAATCACCACCCTGTGTGATGGAATGTGACAGAGGAATCACCACCCTGTGTGATGGAATGTGGCAGAGGAATCACCACCCTGTGTGATGGAATGTGGCAGAGGAATCACCACCCTGTGTGATGGAATGTGGCAGAGAAATCACCACCCTGTGTGATGGAATGTGACAGAGGAATTACCACCCTGTGTGATGGAATGTGGCAGAGGAATCACCACCCTGTGTGATGGAATGGGGCAGAGGAATCACCACCCTGTGTGATGGAATGTGACAGAGGAATCACCACCCTGTGTGATGGAATGTGGCAGAGGAATCACCACCCTGTGTGATGGAATGTGGCAGAGGAAATCACCACCCTGTGTGATGGAATGTGGCAGAGGAATCACCACCCTGTGTGATGGAATGTGGCAGAGGAATCACCACCCTGTGTGATGGAATGTGGCAGAGGAATCACCACCCTGTGTGATGGAATGTGGCAGAGGAATCACCCCCCCTGTGTGATGGAATGTGGCAGAGGAATCACCACCTGTGTGATGGAAAGTGGCAGAGGAATCACCACCTGTGTGATGGAATGTGCAGAGGAATCACACCCTGTGTGTGGAATGTGGCAGAGGAATCACCACCCTGTGTGATGGAATGTGGCAGAGGAATCACCACCCTGTGTGATGGAATGTGGCAGAGGAATCACCACCCTGTGTGATGGAATGTGGCAGAGGAATCACCACCCTGTGTGATGGAATGTGGCAGAGGAAACACCACCCTGTGTGATGGAATGTGGCAGAGGAATCACCACCCTGTGTGATGAATGTGGCAGAGGAATCACCACCTGTTGATGGAATGTGTCAGAGGAATCACCACCCTGTGTGATGGAATGTGGCAGAGGAATCACCACCCTGTGTGATGGAATGTGGCAGAGGAAACACCACCCTGTGTGATGGAATATGGGAGGGAAACACCACCCTGTGTGATGGAATATGGGAGGGAAACACCACCCTGTGTGATGGAATATGGGAGGGAAACACCACCCTGTGTGATGGAATATGGGAGGGAAACACCATGCTGTGTGATGGAATATGGGAGGGAAACACCACCCTGTGTGATGGAATATGGGAGGGAAACACCACCCTGTGTGATGGAATATGACAGGGAAACACCACCCTGTGTGATGGAATATGGGAGGGAAACACCACCCTGTGTGATGGAATATGACAGGAAACACCCCCCTGTGTGATGGAATATGACGGGGAAACACCACCCTGTGTGATGGAATATGGCAGGGAAACACCACCCTGTATGATGGAATATGACAGGGAAACACCACCCTGTATGATGGAATATGGCAGGGAAACACCACCCTGTGTGATGGAATATGACAGGGAAACACCACCCTGTGTGATGGAATATGACAGGGGAGACACCACCCTGTGTGATGGAATATGGGAGGGAAACACCACCCTGTGTGATGGAATATGGCAGGGAAACACCACCCTGTGTGATGGAATATGGCAGGGAAACACCCCCCTGTGTGATGGAATATGGCAGGGAAACACCACCCTGTGTGATGGAATATGGCAGGAAACACCACCCTGTGTGATGGAATATGGCAGGGAAACACCACCCTGTGTGATGGAATATGGGAGGGAAACACCACCCTGTGTGATGGAATTTTGGCAGGGAAACACCACCCTGTGTGATGGAATATGGGAGGGAAACACCACCCTGTGTGATGGAATATGGCAGGGAAACACCACCCTGTGTGATGGAATATGGCAGGGAAACACCCCCCTGTGTGATGGAATATGGCAGGGAAACACCCCCCTGTGTGATGGAATATGGCAGGGAAACACCACCCTGTGTGATGGAATATGGCAGGGAAACACCACCCTGTGTGATGGAATATGGCAGGGAAACACCACCCTGTGTGATGGAATATGGGAGGGAAACACCACCCTGTGTGATGGAATATGGCAGGGAAACACCCCCCTGTGTGATGGAATATGGGAGGGAAAACACCACCCTGTGTGATGGAATATGGCAGGGAAACACCACCTGTGTGATGGAATATGGCAGGGAAACACCACCCTGTGTGATGGAATATGGCAGGGAAACACCACCCTGTGTGATGGAATATGGCAGGGAAACACCACCCTGTGTGATGGAATATGGCAGGGAAACACCACCCTGTGTGATGGAATATGGCAGGGAAACACCACCCTGTGTGATGGAATATGGCAGGGAAACACCACCCTGTGTGATGGAATATGGAGGGAAACACCACCCAGGTGTGATGGAATATGGCAGGGAAACA